GAATACAATACCGTGTGTCAGTGTGTTTTCGTAGGAGTCGGGTCTGGGAATGTGCGTTCTTGTTTCAGAAGTTATGAAAAGAATTAGAGATACCTTAGTCTTCATGAAGGCTGTTTTTCAAAAGGTTTCTGAATAGTATTTTAAAGGCAGAACTTGAGATCCTATCGGTGGATCGAGGGCGTATCGTGCAGTACATTACGTTTTATTGTTTTAGACTACTTGCTCTGCTTTTGCTTCTCCAATGTACATATTGACCAAGTTGTTATTACACCAAACAACGAAGTGAACCAAAAAGATTATCATAATCCTATTCGCTGTTTTTTTTGTTGTTGTTGTTGTTGTTGTTGTGATGGTGGTGGTTGTGGTTGGTGGTGGTGGTGGTGTCGTTGTGGTTGTTGTCGTTGTTGTTGCTACTGTTGTTGTGTATTTTTGTGTGTGTGTTTGTTTTCATCATCATACAATAGACATGTTCATGACAACTCTTTTTAAAAAAATTTTCCATCCAGAATCTGATTGCGGATCTTCAAAAGTTTGGTCACAACGTATCGCAGTACTCATTGGGCGCCTCCATCGTGCAAGGAATCGACGTGGAGAACGGGCTCATCTTCGCCGACAGTGACTTCAGAAAGGGAGGCATACCGGACGGCTTTTAGCCTGCGTTAAACAACAGTTTGTTTTTTTCTTTCGTGTTCACATTTTTTATGCGTTTATTAACTCTTTATCTTCGAGGGGGGTACACCCACTATCCTAAAAATGACGAAAACTTCACTACCTTGGTCTTTAAATCACAACAAGTGAACCTATTTCGATAGTTCTTCATCTAATGAAGGAAGTCCCGATAAAAGAGATGCTTTCGGCAATAATTGCCGGAATATAATTTGATGTTGAAGTCGTCGGAAAGGAATGTGCCTGAGCCGCTGTCAGCGACTCACCAGCACAGTGGTTCCAACAATTAACCGCTGTCAGCGACTCACCAGCACAGTGGTTCCGACAATTAGCCGCTGGGAGCGACTCACCAGCACAGTGGTTCCAACAATTAGCCGCTGGGAGCGACTCACCAGCTCAGTGGTTCCAACAATTAGCCCCTGGGAGCGACTCACCAGCTCAGTGGTTCCAACAATTAGCCGCTGTCAGCGACTCACCAGCACAGTGGTTCCGACAATTAGCCGCTGGGAGCGACTCACCAGCACAGTGGTTCCAACAATTAGCCGCTGGGAGCGACTCACCAGCTCAGTGGTTCCAACAATTAGCCGCTGGGAGCGACTCACCAGCTCAGTGGTTCCAACAATTAGCCGCTGTCAGCGACTCACCAGCACAGTGGTTCCGACAATTAGCCGCTGGGAGCGACTCACCAGCACAGTGGTTCCAACAATTAGCCGCTGGGAGCGACTCACCAGCTCAGTGGTTCCAACAATTAGCCGCTGGGAGCGACTCACCAGCTCAGTGGTTCCAACAATTAGCCGCTGGGAGCGACTCACCAGCTCAGTGGTTCCAACAATTAGCCGCTGTCAGCGACTCACCAGCACAGTGGTTCCGACAATTAGCCACTGGGAGCGACTCACCAGCTCAGTGGTTCCAACAATTAGCCGCTGTCAGGGACTTACTGGAGATAAAGAGTTAAAAACACTTTTTTTTCTCTTCCACTTTCACGAGTTGTATGGGGGTTTTTTTTTCATGAATGTCAAAACTGTGTCACAAAACGTAGTTCCCGCAGTCTGCGGGGGTTTATGTCTGTGGCCTGTTGTTTGTTTTATAGAGCGGAGTCAAAAATGTCGTACATTTTCTCCTGGTCTTTGGAGGGGGAGAAGGGGAAATAGTCCCCCCCCCCCCCCCCTCTCCCCCCCCCCCCCTCCCTTAAAAAAAACAAGTTTTAGGGGGGGGGGGGCGGGGAACCATATGTATTGTAGGCAAGTATATTATAAGGTATGTATTTTGTTAAACTGAGCATTCCCATTTTTTTTCCTTTTAATTGTTTTTTTTTCTTTTTTTAAAATAATATTTTTCAATCAGTTTTTTCACTTTGTTATTTTGTGGTTGTGATTGTTGTAAGCCGTGATTTTTTTAAAAAGTTGAAATCCAGAAGAAGATTTTTCTTGAGCCATAACAGTTGCTGAGTTCTTTATACACCCTCAGATCTCACTCATGGGTGGTTGGCGGGTGCTGTGGTGTGGTTTGCTCCTTCTTTCCTATCGAACATCTATCATCTTTATCTCCCCTCCTTCTTTTTTATGTTTGTTACTCTCTTGTAACACCTCTAATCTTCGGCACTTATATGACCTTATTGTTTTGCAAGTGCCGTAAAACTCTTACTAAAACAAAAAAAATATATTTATGTCTTTGTCAATTCGTCTACGGAGGAACATCCCAGTCCTCTTGTCTCTCTGATTTATAAGAATGAAGAAGGTAGGAGAAAGGAGGAGAGAAGACATGAGAAAGAAGGAGGGAAGAAATGAGAAAGAAGGAGGGAAGAAATGAGAAAGTTTCAACAAAAAGTGTATGTTCAACAAAAGGTGTGTGTGTGTTTTATTCAACAAAAGGTGTGTGTGTGTTTTATTCAACAAAAGGTGTGTGTGTGTTTTATTCAACAAAAGGTGTGTGTGTGTTTTATTCAACAAAAGGTGTGTGTGTGTTTTATTCAACAAAAGGTGTGTGTATGTTTTATTCAACAAAAGGTGTGTGTGCGTACGTGCATTTGTGTTTCACATTCACTGAGGAAGGTCTCATCTAATTTGCATTTCATAATGATATTGTTGCTGAGGAATTTTTTTGTTATTATCGTTGTTGCTATTGTTGATGTTGTTGCTATTCCAACTGCGGCAATTGCTGTTGTCGTGTCATTGTTGTTGCTGTTGTTGTGTCATTGTTGTTGCTGTTGTTGTGTCATTGTTGTTCTTGTTGTTGTGTCATTGTTGTTCTTGTTGTTGTGTCATTGTTGTTCTTGTTGTTGCTGTTGTTGTGTCATTGTTGTTCTTGTTGTTGCTGTTGTTGTGTCATTGTTGTTGCTGTTGTTGTGTCATTGTTGTTGTTGCTGTTGTTGTGTCATTGTTGTTCTTGTTGTTGCTGTTGCCCCAATTCCAGCTGCCTGTTTGGCCCTACGGTAATTCATGTTACTTTTTCTACCACATTTTATTTGCCACTTTGAGATTAGTACAGGTTAAAACATGGTCTACACTCATTTTTTTTCTCAGTTTTTTTTCTACTGCTGATATTTTTATAGTTTTATTTTTTCATTTTTACTGAATCATTACGAATTGTTGTGGTGCAAAGCTAGACTAGTTACGGATATTGCACTGGTTTCCTGTTGAGAAAAGAATTGTGTACAAGTTGGCCACCCTATGTCACACATGTTTGAATGATAATGCGCCATCATATTTGTCAAATCTGTTGAGACTGTACTTTCCAACTTGCAGTTTAACCCGATCCGTACGCCCTGGGGTCATTTTGTACCCCCCGGGTTGTATTTTTCACATTTTAGAATACTTCTAGCACGAAGATCTCTTTGATACTTTCAGTATTTGTCAAAAAATCATTTTGACAGACTGCTTAGCAAAGCGTGCGGATCGGATTAACTAGTAAATTTCCTCTTTGGAAAGTGGTGGCACAGAGTTCCCCTCGTCGTATGGATGTGATAGTAAAACACGACATACGGTAGGGTTAAGTGGTGGCACAGAGTTCCCCACGTCGTATGGATACGATAGTAAAACACGACGTACGGATAGGGTTAAGTGGTGGCACAGAGTTCCCCTCGTCGTATGGATACGATAGTAAAACACGACGTACGGATGTGGTTACGGTCATCAACTGACAAAAAGAAATGTCTTTCACCTTCTATGAAACTTAAAACAATGGGTGAAATGGCATTTGAATACCAAGGCCCCAAGATGTGGAATGCTTTACCAAGTACTTTAGGAGAGATCAAATCTTTTGATGTCAGCTGAAGTTATTTCTTGTTTTTTAAATTAATAAGATGAATATTTGGAGTGATTTCCTTTTAGTCAGAACAACACATTTTATGTTACTGTTGTACGTTGTATTGTATTGTAAAGCGCTCAGAGCCTGTGTACTTTACTCGGGGTTGAGCGCTATATATATATATATATGAATGTCATTTATTATTATTTTTACGTTTGACTATTTTCTAGCTTCATCGGATTTTTTTGTCTTATGGTTTTGTTTTGTTTTCTTTTGTTTTGTTTTGTATGTCGTACAAGACCAAAGTTGAAAGATTTTCAAAAGGTGGAGAAGACTCAGTAGAATATCAAATTTTGGGGGGGGGGTTTTGGGGTTTTAAAATTTTTATTTCACAAATATGGAGCGTCTTGCTCGGAAAATGTTCAAAGTTGTGGCATAAGATCAAACAAATCTTTTTTTTTTTTTTATTTCAGTGGTATTTTTTTATGATTAAAAAAAAGGTGTGGGGGGTTTGGGGAGGGGGGGATGTATAGGGTGTAAATGGTAGGTCCTGCGTCTTTTTAACTCTCTCCCTCTGTTGTTTCTGTCTGTCTTACTCTTTCCCTGCCCTGAGTGATCCTGTGTGGCAGTCTGCTTCTCTTTACCAAACTTTGTGTGTGTGTGTGTGTGTGTGTATGTGTGTGTATGTGTGTGTGTGTGTGTGTGTGTGTGAGAGAGAGAGAGAGAGAGAGGGAGGGAAGGTTTTTGTATTATACATACATTGATGTGTGAGACGTGCTGACAAAATGAGTTACTTCTCGCAATCCACAAATGGAAATATCGGCCAAAAATAGATACCTGGGTCTAATTTGCCGATTTTCAATTGATGCCATTTTCTTCAAGTTGAACGTGTCTTTTATTATTTCATGCTTCTAAATTGTACAAACTCCACATATTATTAACTTGAGGCATCTATTTCCACGCAGCTAAAATCTGAGAAGTAACTCATTTTGTCACCTCATCTCACATATATATTATAAATATACATTGTGAATGTGATATTTATATATGTGAGGCATTGTGGTGAAATCAGGCTCTCTTCAAAATAGTTAAATCTCAGAAAAAGGCATTTTTCCATCCATTTTGCAATTTTGATGTAATTTTTTTTTTTTTACCTAAATGCCTTTTAGTTCATATGAAAACACATTTCCATGTGAATTTTACTGAAAAGCCTTGAGTAAAGGCACAAAGTATTTAATTTTCAATTTTCAAGGACTCTTAAGCTATTGAAGTTACCAAACTTTGGCGTCCATTTTATCAACTCATTAGTTTCACCACTGAGACCAGGCTACCCCACCTTCTTCAATCGCAAATATCTCGACTTCTATTCAAACTAGATGGATATTTTTGCATGAAAAGCAAGGCAAATAAACAATCGTTTAGATGATACCAATAACTCCACATGTCCAAAAACTGACGAGTGCCTGGTTCCACCGTGTCGTGACACATATGCATCAAACTTTCTGCTCATGTCTCAGTTTATTCTGGGGTTTTTGGATAAGCTCAGACTCATTCCACAGTTGTTCAGGTCTGTTTCTTGGAGTCTCCAGACAGTGGGTGGTTGGCGGGTGCTCTGGTGTGGTTTGCTTCTTCTACTTTCCTATCAAACATCTACTGTCCTTATCTCCCCGTCTTCTTTTTTTATGTTTGTTACTCTCTTGTAACACCTTTAATCTCTTCTGGTGCTCATATGACTTTATGCAGTTGCGAGCGCCGTA